AAAGCCAACATCCCAAAGTGAACAGAATGGTTCAATGTTCAGAATTTATCCAAAGCCAAACAAGCATCTTGTCATACTAGACATGTTATCCATGGTTTCTAAACTGTCCATGATCACTCCAAATGCTAAGCCAACAATCTCTGCCAACTCATTTTCAATTGCAGAATTTTGGGAATTAAAAATATATACAGGTGGATCTTGTTTAATGACTATTTGAAGTAATGACAGCACTGAAAAAGCAACTTTATGATTAGTGCTTGCATTTAAGACCATCACAGCATCCCCATGGTCAGTGATAGTGGGGGTTTTTCACTACATAATGAACCACTAACTACCAATCCCCTTTGGGCTTAACTTATCAATTTGAATGACCTTGTGCTGTAGCTTTGGCAATATAAATGTTATAGAGTTGTAATGCTTATATTTTATATGGTATGAGGGAGGAGACACAGGGCAAATAAATTGTGCAATTTTACTGAAAAGAAGCTAATTAAGTCTATTATACACAAGATGTATTTATGTTTCATTGATTAGTGGATGGTCTCTCCCTGCTGTTAAGGTTAATTATGCTACTCTCTACCTAGCTGACTTTAAATCCCATTCACAGCACTAGCACATTTTACATACATGCACATATATAGCTATAGTGTACATGCATATTATGCATAGACATACACACACGCAAACTAGCATATACAGAAGATACAGTAAATGATGCACTACAAGTTTACTCTTCCAAGAAAATATTGCCTTCATCCTCACCAGCAGCACTCCGCAGTCAAATCTTTTTGAGTGCTATAAAATCTCTACATAGGTTTGCACAGAGGTGTCTGGAATGGTATGTGAATCAAGATAGTGACCCCGTCACTGGGAGTCAGACAGCATATACATTTAATAACATTATTTTCATATGTTATTGAAGCCACACTCCCTTTCATATGTGTGGTGCATGAGACACATGAGAGAAAAGGGTTGGGGGTCTTGAATGTGTGACCCATCTTGACTTCTTACAGTAAATCTCCCTATAGATGCCCCTGGACCAGGGCATGTGTTATATAATAGTAATGCCTAGAATAATACCCCAAGGGACACGATTGCATCTACTCATCTAGCACTCAAAATGTTGTGTAGTGAGGTCTGAACGCATACATACAATGTGTGGCAACTAAACCTATAATAATGAAATAGTTTGTACTGTGAAGCAGAGTTCTGAATAGCTTACTAGATTCTTTCAGCAAACCAGTTCTTTATGCAAACCTTTCAATTCTATTTATCTTCCAGTTCTGATTGATTGGTACCACCAATCTGATGATCATGCAGATATTTTCATTTAGCAATATCTAGTCTTCAAAACTAGGGAGCATTTCAGCATCCGCTGAATTATTAATAGTAAAGACCTGGCATCTATACAACACCATGTAAGCATTGAAGTGCAATGGGAGATGGAAACAAACCAATGAATGTCAAATTTCGCCACCCTTTCGTCTGCCAAATGATACAGAATTACACTTGGATGAGCAAATCAGTGTTAAAACATGTGCACCAATACAAGGAAAAGCAGTATTTAATGTCACCTGATAATCTTTCTCCGAATCACAGCTAAGAATGTAGGTTGGAGGAAAAAAAATTACTGCATCTGTTAAAATGTGTCTTTAAAAAGGCTAAATGTTCCATAGGCTGCCTATAGGAGCATCTCAAAGCTGCATTATCATAGCTTCAATGGAAATTCACAGTTCACTGATTGCAACTTGAAGGCACGATTTGGATGCCTGAAACAATGGTTGCTGATCAAAACACTGTCATTTAACAAGCTTCAGAACATTTGTCATCCGAGCAGCTTCGAAAACAGTTCCTCTTTATAAACCTTGTTTTCAACAATAAAACATGGAGCAATGATCTCTCTCTATTGACGCCCAAATATCTGAAGTACATACAGCCTTTAGTTAAGGCTTTCCAATGTGAAGGCATCGATCAGTGTGAGACTATAACTCCCAGGATTCCTAGTCAGCATGATTGGATGGGTGGGGATGATGGAAAATTGTCATCCCTTAAGTAGGGAAAAACATAGATTTTAGCTTACAAGAAGAAGAGCATACCTAGTGCTCTCCCACACCTCTATTCTATAGGTCTCCATTGCAATTCTACATTCAGTGAGAGTGGGGGGAGCATATTTCTGTAAGAAATGGTGTTTTTATTTTCCCTCCTGAAGAAGGAGTCAGAGAAGGATGAGGCCTGGCTTCTTCCCATCCATACTGAAATGATGCGCTCAGAAAAAGGACGAATGGGCCCAATAGTGTAAAAGGAGATGCTGCAGAAGCTGAGAGGCTGCATCATCTTACCGGCCATGACAGGCTGAGTTTGTGCTCCTGACTGGGCTCCCGAGCTATGAATCTCTCTCACTGTGAGGTCTCGAGGTCCAAACTCTGCTATTAGATCAACCTCTCCTGGCAGACTCTTATTTGTCTTTATACTGCTCAGAGGATGGTTCTTTGTTGATCTTTGCTGCCACCATCGTTTATTATTAATATTAATGTGCATATTGGGAATAGGAAACCCCCTCTCCTCATCCTCCATGACATCTTTGGGGAGGGGGAGACTTCTTAGTTCCAAGCTATATATAATAATATGACACTGGGTAGGCTTGGAGCCCACGGATATTGGGCAAAAGGCAAAAAGGGTACAATACAAATGTATTTTTCACACTCAGACGCCCAGAGAGAAACATACAAATACATGAGCTCAGAATTAGCTTAAGCAATGTAAGAGGAAGTGCACTGGAAGGCTATTGAAACAGAAGTATATCTCTCTCTCCCCCCCCTTCCCCAATCTGGTGCACTGCTAATACGTTGAACTTTCACTACTCTAGGCCTTGGGAGGCCAAGAAGATTGGAAGGAAGCAGAATGGGTAGATAGTGACATTCATGAATTCATTGTTTCAGTGTTCTGCTATTATATAAAAGTGCTTTGTAGTTCTTGAATCTTGATACTTGAGAAATATGCAACACATGGAACAGAAACTTGTGTGGCTATAACGAAAGTTACACCCAGAGAAACTGTGTTCATACCACATGGCAAGACTTAGCTATCATTTGCTGAATAAACCGCAATTAATTGAAAACTATAAACAATGGTTTAAGAGAACAGTGCCAGGTTCATAGAACACACTAAGCTGAAATGTAAGCTAGCACCTACCAAGCAAAAGCAGAGACAGTAAAGTTCCATTTAGTCCCAATAACATCTATTCTGAACAATGCTTTTGTCTCAGGTCTGTTGCTCGGTTTATGCACCTCTGCATCTTTGCCCTTCCCAACATATGGTGGGTCATGCTGGCCTGGGAATTCTGGGAGATGAAGTGCACACATCTTAAAGTTGCCAAGGTTGAGAAACACTCTTTTAAGGGTTTGATTAAAATTTTTTTTTAAAATGTTTCCCCTATGTCAGTGGTTCTCAACCTTTTTAATGCCGCGACCCCAACCGGTCGTAAGTCGAGGACTAAACCGGTCGTAAGTCAAGGACTACCCAACCGGTTGTAAGTCGAGGACTTTCCCTGCCCGGGAGCGCCGCGCATGCGTGGTTCTGCCCCCTGCGCCGGCTGAGGCGTGTCTGGCAAGCGGCAGAGACGGAGCAGGCCGACCACCAGCTGGCCCAGCCCAAGGGAGGTAAGGCACCCGCCAGAAAAGGGGAAAAAATGGCGGACAAAAAAAATGGCGGACAGCCTTGCTTGGCGACCCCCGTGAAATGATCGATCGACCCCAAATGGGGTCCCGACCCACAGGTTGAGAACCACTGCCCTATGTATTTAGAGTAAAGTTTATAGAAATTCTGCAAGGTACACTAGTATTGTGTTGACTGAGAGACTGATGGACTATATTCATACAACTGGCTATCACTGATTCCTTACCCATGATATATGAATAAATCAAAGTTGTTGGGTCACATCAAATATTTAGAAGGGGTAAAATTTGTACCAAGATCCTCCTACTTTAGAGCCCAGACTCTTAAAAACTAGCATTCTAGTTGCTACTGGGCCATAGATAACAGACAAAAATGAGTAGGTTGCCTTGTTCTGAATTCTCTAAAAAGTAAGTATTCCCATTGCTCATTAAAATCAAATTAAGAGTATTTTACCATCAGTAATTCTGAAAGAGGCAACTCCACCCATTATAGTATTAATGCCAAATCACTGAACTGATGATAAACAACTGGAAGAAACAGGCAGAAGAGGGGGGAAAAAGTGCTATATAATTGATAGCTGCAAAAGCAGAGAAGTCTTGAAAAAGAATCTATGGACTGTAATCTCTGGAGAACCAGTCAATCATTTCAAAGTTATTGTCATCAAATTAGTAGCAACATAGAATTGCTGGCTCCTAATGACATTGCTCTTGAAAAATCACAAAAAATCCAGCTACTGTATAGATGCTGTGTTTCAAGGTGGATATAATGAATGCCGCTCTTTCTCTTCCCTTCTCCCCACAAAGTTCCTGGAACATTTCTCTCTCCCCACTCCCATCACCACTACCAAGGTCAGACCGTCTTCAAATTCCTCTTCTCTTTTATGAAACATTTGACTTTAGACCCCTTGGTCTTCTACTGTTCCCCAAAAGGGAAATAAACAGCCAAATCTGAACAACTGCATCACTCTCTCTCTCTCTCTCT